AAAAAAAAAAAAAAAAAAAAAAGAAGAAGATGAACTAAAGCTGACTGGGAGAAGAGATGGATGAGAGGAGGCTATTTTAGAGCAGGGAGGCCTGCCTAAGGTGACATTTGAGCAGATGTCTGAATTCAGTGAGAGAGGGGCCCATTAAGTATGAGGAAGAAGAGGCCTCAGGCAGAAGGCAGTGCAAGTGGAAAGCCCCTGAGTGGGAAGCACTTCTAAGGCGTAGCAAGGAGGCCGGTGGCTGTGGCAGGTGGAGTAAGAAGAACAGGGGAGGAGGTGAGGCCACGGAGGTGATTGAGCTCCCAGAGACTGAGGCCCTTAGAGAGTGGTGGGCTGGGAAAAGACTTTGGACTCTGGTGGGGACTTTTCAGGAGGGGCCGGGCTGAGACCCATTCGGTCAGTGTGTGCTGAGTGCCTGCCCTGGGGACCCTGGTCCCAAAGGAGCCAACCTGCTTCAGGGAGTTACCACTGGTAACAAGAAACAAGACACTGTAGTGGGAGAGGCCACTGGGGAGCAGCCAGGAGCAGCAGGAACCCAGGGGAAGCTGCCCCGAGTCCCTGGGGACAGAAAATATTTGTGTGTAGGATCCATATGTGATGAAGGGTAGGGATGGGGAGGAGGCCAGATCGAGGCCTGGAGGTTCTTACATCCTGAACACCCAAGCTGGCAGGGTCATCAGAGTCCTCTGGGCTAGTGTTTTTCAAATCAGCTTCTGTGGAGCCCTGGGGAGATGACTTGGGGTCCTGAGTGGATCGGGTCCAGAACCCCCACCCCCACCCTACCACTGAACCAAAGCAACCTCAGCTTTGTCTATGTTATGTATTGAGCTTCCCATAAGCTTTTGTATGAACAAGGAATCAGTGGCTAAAACAATGCCGACAGGCCATCGATCACATACTTTACAGATTTATTGAGGCATAAGGGACACATATAATCAACTACACGTATTTCAAGGGTACAATTTGATAAGTTTGACATATGTATATACTTAAGAAGCCACCATCACCATTAAGACACTGAACATATCCTTCATCCCAAAAAGTTTACTCCTGCCCCTTTATGATTCTTCCCCCAACTCCTCTGCTCTCCTACCCCAAAATGTTCAAAAGCACTTTGGCCAGGTGGTGGCTCATGCCTGTAATCCCAATACTTTGGGAGGCTGAGGCAGGAGAGCTTGAGACCAGAAGTTCAAGACTGGCTTGGGCAACATGGCAAAATCTTGTCTCTACAAAAGCACAAAAATCAGCTGGGCATAGTGGCATGCATTTGTGGTCCCAGCTACTCAGGAGGCTGAGGTGGGAGGATCATCTGAGCCCAGGAGGCAGAAGTTGCAGTGAGCCATGATCACATCACTGTGCTCCAGCCTGAGTAAAAGAGCAAGACCTTGTCTTAAAAAACAAGGCAAGGCCGGGCGCGGTGGCTCAAGCCTGTAATCCCAGCACTTTGGGAGGCCGAGATGGGCGGATCACGAGATCAGGAGATCGAGACCATCCTGGCTAACACAGTGAAACCCCATCTCTACTAAAAAAAATACAAAAA